CGTATTTTTGTTATTATTTTGATTTATTATTATCTGCTATTATTTCCCTATGTTGCGTCTTACGACACCCACAAGATGACATAGGATAGTCGATTTTTTATGGTACCATTATACTGCTGAAGCTCTCAAGCGTAGCGATCAAAAATGCCGCGCTGAAAGCTCCCTCGTTCATATTACAGTACCGATCCATCAACGAGGCCTAGGGGCGCTACCCCCGGCCATCCGTCATTTCCTCGATATGTCGAAAACAGATAAGTCTCCCGCGAAGAACACGGGAAGGAACGATGATTATTTGAAAGATTACATTTCTATATTTTAATATTACATTTCTATTATTTTCCGGCTCCGTGGCGCAGTGGCTTAGCGTTGAGTAGCGTCCCTGCGAGCTGCGGATTCAAATCCCGCAGCGAACAAGTATTTGTATGGCCTACAATTAATTGATCTGTTTTAGCGAAAAAGTTGTGTTTATTTTTAAGAGTTCTTCCGTAAAATTTTGCAAATTACAGTCTGTTTTTACCAATGTTTATATTCCATACGTGGTAGAGCCACGCTGAAGTTATATTATGGATTCAGCACGAATGGGCGGCTCGACCGGGGAAGGACCACACTCTCACAGAACACTATAATAAAATGGCAGCTTAATGCTGCTGTGTTTCGTATGGTGAGTGTAGAGAATCGGAGACCCTTTTTACTGGAAACGGGGCATTCCTCCTTAATCTTCAGGGGTGACAACGCATCTGCATTTTGATTTTTAATCGAGGATAGATGTAGATGTCTATGGGCTACAGCAACCACTTACAATCAGGTGGACTGTGTGCTCGTTTGTCACCCATAATCTATACAAAAAAATCTTAACCAACTTAAATTATTGTTTCTAAGCTTTAATATTGTCGAGAAAACATTTGAATGGCCTTCTGATTTCTTTCATTGAGTAAGAGCGATAAACTAATAATATAAATTGACTGTGATTCATTTTAGACCATATAATTTTAGCAGTGAGTTTCCAAAAGAAAGTAAAAAAAAAGCCTCCATGATACACGAAATAGTCCTAGTTTTGAGCATAACGTTGTTTAAAAGAAAAAGAATAATCAAGAATATAATACTACATAGGACTGGTTATAGAACTTTGATAAAGTTAGCATTAGTATGAAACATATTTTTTTCTAAACGAGACATTTTGTTTCATTTATTAAGGCATTGTCTACATGGCCTTTAGCCAAATGAAGTACTTCAAACGATGTAATACATTTAACATACCATAAATGTTAATTTCTCTCTATATGTTGATGGGTCACAGAGTATTGGTGGTGTAAGGATATTCACTACACCATATCATCCGTGGGGATGGGGTGAGGGGGAGGGGATCGTAAGAGGTGACAAGGAGAAATAAAACAGGAGATGGATAGCAGCTTCTTCCTGATAACATATCAAAATAAAAAAGGACTGTGGGAGAAAGAAAGGACTTTGTTCGGTTCTAGAAATAATTTGTTGCTCAGTGAAAACGGAAGTGAACTTTGATCCACCGTTCATTGATCGTGCCGTATGTTACGTTTTTGATTACGATTAACGGGGATTTAGTTGAGTTTGAAGTTGGTTAAATGTGCAATCACGCTGCTAGTTCACTGATATTTCAATTCATCACCAAAATATTCATAAATGGTGGGCACGTGTCACTCAATTATCAGTTTTTATCAAAGCAATCACTGATTCTTCTTGAGTTTCATTGTTTTCAGGGCAAGGGGGGATTGATGCGGCATTAGGATTAACTTCATAATTTTGATGAAACCCTTTTTAAGTATTTCTGGGGAACTTAAACGCACAGGTGCGTTATCTAGGCGGGGCGATCGTAGTCAGAAGGGATTGCGATTAATCGGGAATGGGAAAGAAAGAAAGAAAGAAAGAAATAAGTTTATTTGGCACATAAATTATAACAAACAAAAATAAATCAAATGAAACAGTTTTTTTTTTAACTTAAAAAAATATAAAAAAAGGAATAAAAGAAACGTAATATGCACCAAAACGGTCTCCACTCAGCTTTAAGTCACGAATTGAAGATATACATACATCAATTCGTAACGCTGGTTTTCAGTGGAGCCAGGAGTGTGAGGCAGATGACAAAAAACAGCAAGAGAAAAAATATTAACAAAAATATTGAAATAAAGGTAAAATAAAATGAATAAATCTGTCAAAATTCCATATACCAGTGATACTTTATAGTGTAGTAATAAGAACAGGTGGTATACATAAAGAAAATTTAAAAAAAAAATGTGTGTGTGTGTGTGTGTGTGTGTGTGTGTGTGTGTGTGTGTGTTAGTGTGTGTATGTGTGTATGTGTCTGAAAGCGAATATGGATGCGACCAATGTGTGAGTGAATGGGTGATTAGCGAATGTAATAGTTGAATGAGTGTATGCATAAAATGTCCAATTCAAGGACTGAGCAACAAATTTCCTCCTAAGAAGCAACTTATGCCTATAGTCAGTAGTGGGACTACTGATAAAATGTAATGAAATGTATGTGTGATGCCATGGATGAATAGACGGTGAGAAACGAGCTCATACTCCACCTGATGGTAAGTAGATGATGTGGTCCATAGACATCTCTACATCTATCGTCGATTAAGAATGAAAATGCAGAGCTGTCATCCCTGAGGACTAAAAATAAATAATAATAACAATAATATTGATATTGATAAAAATATAGATATTGATAATTAATATGTGCGCGTGTCTATAAAATACCAGATAGCTCGAGAGTGAGCGAGAGCTCGCATCACTCTAGCGGAGCATCATGTCGATGGCGGCGGGTTGCTCGTTTGTGTAGTATAAAGTTAACTCTAAAACCTATACATGTTGGCCGAGCGAAGGCGATTACCAACGTAAAGACAGCCAATTTGACCAGCCACGCCATTGCTCGTCGTCGCTCGCCTAGCTGATCGAGTGCAGGCGAGCGCATACGTGTATACGTTTAATTTGGCGCGCCTTGCCACCGCTCGGGATCGCTCGCCACGACGCGTCTCACTTTGGAACAGTGTCGGTTTTTCTGCACAAATCAAAGGTGCTCGCCTGCGTTTTGCTAGCCTGTTAGCTGTCCATATGTTGGTCGGCCAATGTGTTCACTCATTCAAACTTAGTCAACATGTAGACTGTAGCACTCGCCTTGTGTCAATTTGCCTGCACTCGCGTTGGCTGAGGCTTGGCCAACATGTATTGCGGACTTAAGTGCCGTGTACAAGAGATTCCACCTAAGTCATTATACAAGTGTGAATACTGAGACTCGTAAAATTAAAGTGTCGTTGTTCTTTCCGTTGTAGTAATTCTTGTGTGCAAGCAAGGAAGATCGTGTTGCTGAGAGGCTGCCCTGTGTTACTATGAGATGTATAGTGTAGCTGTTGGTTTGCATATTTTGGTGTAACCATGTAATTGCATCCCTCATGTTATACTATGTATGATCGTACTTTAACTGCTCTATACTGAATGTATTATACCTGTATGCTGTTTTATTACTGATAAGTAGGAGAGCGAGTTGAACAATCGCACTCACACTTATTATTATTTTTAATAATTAACCTCTTAAGACATTTCCGAGAAATACATTTTAAAGTTTTTATACGTGGTAGCGCCATGCTGCAGCTATATTAGTAGTATAGTTGTAGCACGTATGGGTCGGCTCGACCGGGGAAGGACCACGCTCTCACAGAATACCAGCGTAAAATGGCAGCTGTTTCGTATGGTGAGTGTAGAGAACCGGAGACTCATTTTACTAGAAAAGAGGCATTCCATCTTAGTCCTCACGGGTGACGACGCATCTGCATTTTGATTCTTTATTGAGGATAAATGTAGATGTGTATGAGCCACAGCAAACACTTACCATCAGGTGAATTGTGTGCTCGTTTGTCACCCTATCCTATAAAAAAAAGCTTCTTTCAAAATATCGATCCAATTACATATAGTTTGGGAATTTAACGACACAGTCGTTGAAATTATACAACCGAAACATTTCAGAGGCTCGAGATGAAAATTCCTTATCACCGAGTCACTTTGGACCCTAAGGACTACATAAAGTTTTACGACCGCCATTAAAAATTTACTCTTCCATTAGTGTGAGCGAGATAGACTGAGGTCGGGAGAGTTGGAGTAAAAGGGACACATATTAAAAGATTTTTAAAATGACTGACTGCTATAATATTTTACATTATTACTAGCTGGCTCGGCAGACGTTGCCCTTCTTTTTTCGCTAGATGGCTCGATGAGTTTCACTCCGAATGCTCTCCAATCTTCTTACAGTTTAATTATAAACTGTATTCATAGAACAACCACAGTGATACCTATCGGATCCAGATTCAATAAAACAACATAGTTTATCGTAAATATAAGTCCTTTTAGTCCATTAATATGAATTTGTTAATAACATGTACGCATTTAATGCGTACATAGATGTAGCACTAATGGATCGACTCGACAGAAGAAGACCACGCTCTCACGAAATTACGCTCACCATACGAAACACAGCAGCATTAAGCTTCTACTTAGAGCGTGGTTCTTCTCCGGGAACTAATACTACTGATATAGCTCTACCACTATATATATATATATATGTGTGTTACAAGTAACACTCACTGAAAGTCATTTATGCTTTTACCATTGGTTCGGGAAAACCTTTACACAAGGAAGAATCAGCAAGAGACCCAGCGAGACTCTTTTTTTAAAGCATTAATTTCTTAAATGCAGATGCGTTGTCACCCCTGAAAACTATGATGGATTGCCTCGTTAGCAGTAGCAGTAGTAAAAGGTCCTCGACTCTCTATACTCACCATACGAAACGAAACACAGCAGCAAGTATACTGTTATTTGCATGATATTCTGTGAGAGCGTAGTCCTTCCCCCATCAAGCCAACTCATTCGTGCCGCAGTCGTAATAGCTGCAGTATGGTTCTACCACGATAAAATACTTTTAAAAACAAGGTAATAATGTGTTGATAATTAATTTTATTTTGTTACAGAGACTGTCGAGTAGTGAGGGACCCACAGACGCTGAAGTCGAAAGGCTACGGCTTCGTTTCATTCCTAAAAAAATCCGTAAGTACATTTCTGATTACTTTTTTATTAATATTTTTAGCTTGGATGCTTGTCATTTAAGCCACGTCTTCTATTGTTTTATTATCAAGTGATAATAATCCTTTATAAGTGCACTGCTTCACAATATATTGATGCGTCACATTGCGTAGTTTTTGGGGAGATTTTGACTTCAACTTGTGCCAGCAGACAGTTGGCGATGGTATCTCAAGGTGCCTAAACAGACAGACACCTTATCTTGATATGCACATTACGAAAGGAGCACTTGTTTCACCTTTTCTGCTAATAGTTCACATGCTCACACATTTGACACACAAAATTGCAACACTTTTACATGTCAAAATTCACTAAAACCAGTATTTAAACAATTATACATGAGCGGCAATCCGACGCCGGTCAAGTTCCCGCCATAAACTTATAACTATTGTCACAGACTATATAATGTGTCCCACATTATACAGTATCTATTTTCTGAGAAGTTATAGGTTATTGGACTGTACCAAGGCGTGCTTAAGTCCTTGATTTTGAAATATTTTTCTTTCATTCTTTAGGGAGCTGTACATTTATTTAGTTTTCATCATAATTAAAACGATCACAAGGTACTTTCCTCATTTAAGTTTCAAGCAACAATTAATTCAAATCAAACTTCACGCAACTAATACATTCATATAATACTTGAGAGACTTAACGTAAATTAATTTCAATTCAATTTGCGAACAGTGGCATAATTATTAAATCATTCATCAAACAATAAGAAAATTGTCGTTATACATAATGAAAATTACTTTTTCACTCAAAATATCTTTCGGTTGGTCACATTAGCACAAAACAAAATAAATATGTAATCTAATAGACAATTTTGGCTCATATTTCGTTTTTTTTTATATAGAATAAGGGTGACAAACGAGCACACAGTACACCTGGTGGTAAGTGATTGCTGTGACCCATAGATATCTACATCTATCCTCGTTTGCGAATCAAAATGCAGATGATGCGTTGTCACCCGTGAGGACTAAGATGAAATGCCTCATTCACAGTAAAAAGCGTTTCCGGTTCTCTACACTCACCATACGGAGACACAGCAGCGTTAATCTGCTATTTTACGCTGGTATTCTGTGAGAGCGTGGTCCTTCCATGGTCGAGCCGAGCCATTCGTGCTACAACTATACTACTAATGTTCAATTGAAAATGAGACTATTTATGGAAAATTGTGTTGCTGTTGAACATAACAGTTATAAGCTGTAACGGTAACATTAACGGTGTTACCGAATAATAATTTAAATTTAAATCTTTATTTTAAAATCGGGCAAGTTGCAAAACATAACGTATCAAATTCTAATTACACAACGTATTAATGATGCTGGGAACTAGATACGCAGTTGTTTTGTTTTTCAGTTACAGCGTAGTAAGTACCAGTACTTAAGGTTCTAATTAACAATAGCGAGCCGAGTATGATGCAGTAACTAATGGAAACTTTTTCTTTTTTTTTTAGTAGTAGGGTAGTTTATATGCATAAATTTCATAATGGCAAACATCGAACAAACTGTGTTATACGAGGTAGATACAACGCATCTTCATTTTGATTCTTAATCAAGGTTAAACGTAGATGTATATGGGCCACAGAATCCCCTTACCGTCAGTGTTAACACTACTGTGTTTCGTATGGTGAGTGTAGAGAACCGGAGACCCTTTTTACTGGAAACGAGGCATTCCATCTTAGTCCTCACGGGTGGCAACGCATCTGCATTTTAATTCGTAAACGAAGATAGATGTAGATGTCTATGGGCCACAGCAACCACTTACCATCGGGTGGACTGTGTGCTCGTTTGTCACCCTGTACTATAAAAAAATATTGGATTTTACCATAGTTGCCACGCTTGGCAGGCAGGTTGGCAATTGCATTTTTTTTATTAATGTAACCCTTTAGCTGTCCCGTGCACTACATTTTTTTTATAGAATCGGGTGACAAACGAGCACACAGTCCACCTGATGGTAAGTGGTTACTATGACCCATAGACATCTATATCTATCTCAGTAAAGACTCAAGATGCAGATGCGTTGTCACCCGTGAGGACTAAGATGGAATGCCTCTTTGCCAGTAAAAAGGGTCTCCAGTTCTCTACACTCACCATACGAAACACAGCAGCGTTAAGCTGCTATTTTACGCTGGTTTTCTGTGAGAGCGTGGTCCTTCCCCGGTCGAGCCGACCCATTCGTGCTACAACCATAATATAGCTGCAGCATGGCTCTACGTACGTACCACGTACATATAGGTCATTGCTATTGTCTTACTATTGTATCTGAAAACCGGACAGTGAAAAAGTTAAGCTGTTATCAGGAAGATGGAGCTGCCTATCTCTTGTTTCCTTTTCCCTCTGTCATCCCTTACGACAATATTGTGTGTAATGGTGTTATAGTTTTTACATTAAAATAATTATCTCATTTTCATTCATCACAAGATACTACTAATCTTCCTGATAAGAAATCAAAATAATAAAAAACTGCGGTTTCCCAAAATTCCACCTTTGAGGCCATCTATAAAAAAAAATCAATTTATTTCAGACTGAGTCCATACAAGTAACATTTACATTATAATAAATTTAATCTCATCTAATCTAAGATGTTTTTAAACTATAGATACGTCATACTCGCTCTAAAATGGCAATACGAAAGTCAGGTAATTGCCCGACTCGCATTCAGTCGGGCACGCTCTCGCGTCGCGGCTATACCTTCGCTACAGCGCATAATCTTCTAGTTATTCGTGGCAAAAATGCCTTCCTGTGTATTTAGGTGGTGCACAAATTACACGGCAACTGTTAGAGACAAGAAAAACGTCTCATTAATATTTTGCATATAGATGTTTTGTTCATAATTGGTTTTATTATTTCAACACCTAACCGCTAGTGTAAATTTTGACGCTAGTTAGTGTGTTCATTTCCATATCGGTATGTCACGCGCTCGCACCAATGAGCGCTCGGCAGCAATCGATACGCAACTAATGATGTATATTCATCTTTTTCTAACGATAGGTATGACGTATCATTTGTCTCTTTTTGTTAGCGCAACGTGTCATAATAAATAACTGTACGTATATATAGTACTACCTGCGCCACTTTAAAATACAAGAATGTTAGTGTGTACTGTGTAACCTGTCTATCTTTTTTAATACGTCTTTGCATCTAATTTAATTTTATATAATTTTATCTAATCTTTTATAATTTAATTTAATCGCATTCAGTTTATATCAGTTCAATATAACTTAATTCGATTGTTTAACATTGTAATAAAATTAATCTATAGTTTATAGGGCAGGCCTATGTCCGGATATGGCACTTTTTGGATTTAATGGATTCATGTTAAATTTGAGTACAGTATACAATATATACTAATTATACAATTACCTAATTTTATAAATAGGTACGTGAAAACATACAAAACATATTTTGGAACGAAGTTCCTTATCGGATGGTACGGGTTTGGCGGATGGGAGCTAGGCGACAAAAAGTGTAAGATTTTTTCGTCACTACCCCTTGTGTAATAGTGTAGACGGCCTTGGCGGCGAAATAAGGAAGTGAGATGGAATAATATCCATCTCCCTCGCACTTTTTCTTATCTTGCCATGAAAGAAATATAATTTTATTTCAAATGACGCTTCATTTTAATAGACGCTAGTAATTCATTTATTTGTATATGTTAATCAATAATATAATACGTTTATCAATAATAATATACTATGAAAGGAACTTCGTTCCAACCGAGTGTTACACGACACTCGCGCATTTTTTAATACACAAAAGGCCTGTCAAATAAATGCTGGATAATAATTTCTTACATTTCTTTATTACATTTCTTAAAGAGATTTCACAACTTAATGTACATAAATAACAACTTATATTCTTTCCCTTAGCGGCATAGCCATTAGAACATCCATTGTATTAATTTCCGGGAGCGACCTGCGGATAAAAGAAAAAGTGTTTTAAGGTATGAAAGAACGTTGCGAAAAGCGTAAATAAAATAAATATTTAAGTATTTTTTATAAGACACTTTTTGTATACCATGTAGAGGCGGTGTTATAATATTAACTAGGTACACCATATCATCCCGTGGGTGTCGTAAGGGGCGACAGGAACAGAAACAGAAACTTTTTTATTCATATATTGATAATAAATAATACTTATTGTCTGGTTTATATTTTTTTACGTGGTAGAGCCATGCTGCAGTTATATCAATTGTATAGTTTTAGCACGAATGGGTCGGCTCGACCGGGGAAGATCCACGCTCTCACAGAATGCCAGCGTAAAATAGCAGAGAGTTTAGAAACCCGGAGACCCTTTTTACGGGAAAAGAGGCACTCCATCTTAGTCCTCAGGGGTGACAACGCATCTGCATTTTGATTCTTGATAAAAATTTCTATGGGCCACAATATCCAGTTACCATCAGGTGGACTGTATGCTCTTTTGTTACTGTTATTTTATAAAAGAAGATTTATACAGTATATCTTAGCACTACTGTTTACTGTGGACATTACGTTATTATATTTTGTTTCTGAAAGCAATTTTACATTTTTAGTTTTATTTATTTAGGTAATGTTTGTACACCAAATTAAACGGTGGATGGGGTAGACATTATTTTAATTATGTAACATCATTGTTTTACACATACCCTAAGCAAACAAATGCTTCTCAATTTAAATTATTCGATATAGAGCCATGAGGTAGCGGCATTATAGAAACCATTACACCGTTTCGTCCCGTGGGTGTCGTAAAAGACGGTTATGGGTATAAAATAGCTAAAATATCTTATGGCTTTACGCCACACGTCGAACTAGGTGGCGTTCCTTGGGGGAGGCCTATGGTCAGCAGTGGACTTGTGAATGGCTGTAATGATGATGATGATGACACGTCAAACACCCCAGACCGGTGACAGGTAGCAGCTTTACAGGTGCTCACGTCTGGTGCTGTGATATTAATCGAATTTTTAATGGTGACAATTAAAACAAATAT